TTTAAAAGTGGGCTTTCCTTAAGAGTTGCTTGTGACTACATGTGATATAGATCACTAATATGTCTTGCATCATTGCAGCAATTCTAAAACTTGGCTGCACATGAAAATCACCTGAGCTTTTAAAAACCTGATGTCCAAGTGAAAGCAACCCAGTGCCCATCAGCTGATGAATGGATAAACAAAATGTGGTATATATATTTAATGTTATTTAACCATAGAAACAACGTTTTTGTATATGCTGCAACATGGATAAACCTTAACATTAGGCTAAGTGAAATAAATCAAGACACAGAAGTACCTTTATTGCATGATCCCCTTTATATGAAATATCTAGAATAGGCAAATGCATTGAGAAGAAAGTAAATTTATGGTTATCGGGGGCTAGGAGGAAAAGGGGACGGGCAATTATTAAAAGAAAGAAAAGAACTTCTAATGTCCATGTTATACCTCATGTCAATTAAATCAGTATGTCCATGAGTATGGGGATAAGGTGATTGTCTTTATGTTTTCAAGATTCCTCAGGTGATTCCAATCTGCATAAAAATTTGGGAAACATTTTGTCTTTAATCAAGTGAGTCTTTGTTGACCCATAGATTGCATCAGAGTCACCTGACCAGCCCTAAAAACAGTACAAACCAGGTCTGACTAGTGGAGATTTTGATTCAGTACGTATGATAAGACTTATACTTTTTGAGTTTAATTTTTACTTAGTATTAGAATTTCATGTGCCACGGTGGTGCCGTGGTTAAGGCACTTCCCTACTAATGGAAAGGTTTGCCCATTGTTTGATGGGAGAAAGGTGTGGCAGTCTGCTTCTGTAAAGAGTTTCAGTCTTAGAGACACTGTTGGGCTCTTCTCTGCGTTATAGCGTTTGAGTTGGCATCTACTTGATAGTGATGGGTTTGGTTTGGGGTTTATTAGAATTTATTTTACAATTTGATTTACTTAGCTGGTAAATGTATTCCAAAGTAGTAAATGCACATAATTTAAGAAGCTAGATAGTATACCCAGTCTCTGTTCCCAATTTAGACTCTAGGTTCCCTGAGAACACTATTTTCAACTCTGACCTTTCCATTGTGGCTTTCATGCACCTCCTTCCATCTCTGTATGCTTGTCCTCTCTCTCCTGGCCTTTCAATTTTGGACATGATCTGCTCCAAGGGCCCCAGTGACTCAGTTTTACAGCAAGTATGGTATAAATGAGGTTTTAATTCAAATTTTTATAAGCTATGATTATTCCACTATAATTGTGAAAATTTTCAGACTTTTGTGTTTACTGTTTATAGACATTATAATAAGTTAGATTTCTATAATTTAAAAAGATTCGAGTTCTTTTTCTATTTTTTATCATGAATACATCTTTTTCTAAGATCGAAAGGACTAGATGACTATTGAACATTTGTTTCAATTATAATACACCTCTTCTTGAACATGTGGTGGTTTTCTCATCAGGCTGTGGGTAATGACAGTCAATGCACTGCAACCTTCAATAAAGTTCGTGCGACAACAAAAATATACTCAAAATGACTTGATGATAGATCCTCTCATTGTCCTAAGGTGTGATCAGAGGGTTCACAGGTATGTACCTTTCAAGTTTCATTTTATTATAGAGCTGTGCTTTGGAGAATCCAAAGAAATTGGAGAGATTCTGTTTAAACTTTTATCTGAGTGTTCAACTGGAAGTGTGGCCTGTGGGTTTTTTTGTTGGTTTGTTTTGAGGTTTGTATTCAGCTTGTTATTTGATATTTGATTAAGAAAATCTAGTCTTAGGGGGAAATAATCAATATTTGAAATGAAAAGATACGAACATACAAGATCATACGATGCTCACAATTTGCTGTGAACAAACCCAGTGGTGGCTATAGGAGAATGAGTGGTAGCGGTACTTGTGCAACAAGCCCTGTGGTACTGTTGGGTAAGCGTTGGACTGCTGATTGCAAGGCCAGTAATTCAAACCCATTAGCTATTTTGCGGGAGAAAGATAAAGCTCTCTGCTCCTCTCAATATCTAAAGCCTCAGAAACGCTATACAGGGCTGCCTGAGTCGGAATTGGCTTATGGTAGTAGGGGAGAATATATGAAATAAGTCTGGTTGTGTCTAGATACTGTTGAAGTTGAGTGTGTGGGCATGGACCAGCACCTCTATGGGCTCCAAAGAGAAAGGGGGCCGAGAGATTGAAGAATGATGCTGCCAGTTCTAGGATGGTGACGGAGGGATTATTTAGAGGTAGATTACTTACAGGGCGTGCTCTGAGCAGCTGCAGGACAGACTCAAGTCTCTGCCCCCCAGTAGGAGGCAGAGGTTTTCATAACTTTGGTGAATAATAATGACTCGGTGCCAGGACCTTGAACCTCCAAGACCACTGCAAGCGAGTGTTACATACACATTCTTTAATAAGCAGGAGTGAGCTTGCAACGGTCAAGAGCTTAGCTATATTTTGTCTTGCAGAACCTGTTTCCCCACACTGGGTGATGGATGTTTGGGGACTTATTATACAAACATAAACTATTCCCTTTTTCATAATATATTGTAATAAGTAAACATTTCATAACATAGATGATATAACAAGAAAAGATGTACAATGAGAAGTTGCCTTTAAAAAAGACTGCCTTTTTTGATATCTCCTATTCTGCCATTCTAAACAAAGCTCCTCTGTGATCTCTTTGGACCCATCCTAGTTCCATCTCCTGAGGAAGGTTTGGCTATCTCCATGCTATGTATGAAGTTTAACTTTGTAATGTATTTATAAACTTAGAAATATTTAGGGTTTTTTAGGGTGGTACTTTTAAAATATAAGTAGCAGTATACCATAAGCATTATTCTTTTTAAAACTTACTCTTCTCAACATATTATCCATTTTAGTGCATAGTTCTACTTCAATTTTTCTTAAATGAATACATCTTAAATACATAGTCTTCGACATACATGGGGGGAAATTCCATGTTTCCATGAATTTTTTGAAGCCCCTTCATATAGATTACCAGATCTATTATCATGAACTTTTCATTTACAATGTTTGGGTTGGAATTTGGGATTAAAAAATAAATCAGCCAATACCGCGAGTGATTATTATTTTCAATTTTGAGAAGCATTGCCATGATTTATTTAAGCACTTACATATTGGTGGACATTTTGGTAGTTTTGAGTGTTTCACATTTACACACAAAGTTATAACCCCCCAATCCACTGGCATTGAGTTGATTTTGACTCTTAGGGACCCTGTATTGTATTTCCTAGGCTAGCCACGGTGACAGGAACAGGATAGCCTCATCTTTCTCCCACAGAGTGACTGGTGGGTTTAAACCTCCAAACTTGTGGTTATCGGTTCAATGCTTACCTTACAGTGCCACCAAGGCTCCTTAAACAAAGCAACCGTAAAAGACAGAGTAGAATTGTCCGTTTGGGTTTCGTAGGCGATAAGTCTTTATAGGTACAGAACACCTCATCTTTCTCCCTTGGAACAGCTGACGGTTTTGAACTGCAGACTTTGCAGTTAGCAGCCCAACAAAGCAATACTGCGCATTTAATCACGGGGAGTTGTTTTTGTCGTC